GCCCAAACGAACCGAGCTAACGGGGGAAACGCACCAGGTTCCCAAACAACGGGCCAGGTGTGAAAGCACCCTAAAATGCTGATAAAGACAAGAAGTGAGACATAAACACATGACAATATGACTGAAATGTTAAAGTTTAAAAAAATAAAACACACTTATTCTGTGGCACCTAAAAAAATAATTTGGCGCCTAATTTAGTTTCTTATAGGAGCCAACGGCCCTGTAAATGGCTGCAGAGCCAGTGTTTGTTCTGCAGGCAAACATCAATGCCTTGAATTTTATGCGAGCAGCTATCGGTAGTCAGAGCAAAATTATTATTAGCTAAAACAGCTCTAAACAAATATGCAGCCAGATTGTGATGTGAGAGACAACAGGAGATGCACTTTTTCACTGGAGGAAGAGTTATTATGGATTATGGACTTGATGTATTTGAGTTAAAAACATCTTAATGCTGGATTAGTTTCAGCGTTTGTCTTCTCCAGATGTTAACTGATGGGTGGTGTGAATTATTGTGGTTTTTATCAGCTGTTTAGACTCTCATTCTGACATTTTCATTTAAGGGTGAACTATTCCTAGATTGTAAAATAGTTGATATTCCGATTTTCAGGTTTGTGTATGTAAATGTATTGCTTTTATAATGATCATGTTAGTTGATTGGCAAGTCATAGCTAACAGGCTATATGTACGAACTCTCCCGTCTGCATTCAATTCACATGGACAAGCCTATACCTGGAGGTGAACCTCCTCACTGTCTCAGCTTTGGACAAGCCTTTTTCAAATGCTTCCCGAGATTTCCGTATCGGCTGAAAGTCTTCCCGCAGGAGGGACAGAGATATGGTTTCTCTCCGGTGTGAACTCTCTCGTGCACTTTAAGGGCTCCTGAAACTGTGAAGCTCTTCTCACAGTGTGAGCACTTGTAGGGTTTTTCTCCGGTGTGGATCCGTTCATGCACTTTCAGTTCACCGGCTCTAGTGAAAGTGCTTCCACAGTCCAAACACACGAAGGGTTTCTCGCCAGTATGAGTTTTCTGGTGGTCTTTAAACCCATTAAGCCACAGAAAGCTCTTCCCGCAGAACGAACACACGTACCGCCGCTCGTCTTCGTGAATCCTCATGTGCGTCTTCAAGTGCACGGCCAGGAAAAACTTCTTATCGCAGCGCTGACAGTGAAAGGGTCTTTCTCCGGTGTGAGAGAGCAGGTGAGTTTTGAGATTGCAGGCCTCTGAGAACCTCCTGCCGCATTCAGGACACTGGTGTAACTTCTCTCCTGAGTGGACCTTCATGTGTCTTTTCAAGCTGTTTTGATGTGTGAAGCTCTTCCCGCACAGCATGCACGCAAAAGGCTTCTCTCCGGAGTGGATTTTCATGTGTTCCTTCAGACCTTCCTTCTGCGTGAAGCTCTTTCCGCACTGAGAGCAGGTGAAAGGCTTCTCTCCGGAGTGAATTCTTACGTGTCTCTTCAGATCTCCAGAATTTGCGAAACTCTTTTCGCACTGAGAGCACGGAAACGGTTTCTCTCCGGTGTGAATCCTTATGTGCCTCTTAAGGTCTCTTTTGCAAGTAAAGCTCTTTCCACACTGAGGACACATGAACGAATTATTGGGCTCTGGTGAGGAATTATTTTCACTCTGAGAGCAACTAAAAAATTTTTCTCCACGTATGAAACGTTGAGGTTCCTGATTCTGCCGTTTCTCCTCCCCTTCATTCAGTTCTTCACTTTCCTCTTTCACTTCCACCAGGTCTAAAATGAACACAAAATAGTTATGTCAATGGACTGTCAAAGACTAAATGTTTGTTTTTAACCGTTTCATGTGCTTATAGGGTTAAAAGAAGATTGTGGGTAACCAAATATTTGCTGGTCCATACTTTTCATATGGAAGTCAATGGGGTTTGGTTACCAACATTTTTTTAAATATCTTATTTTATGTTAAACAAAATAAATAAATGCATACAGGTGTGGAATAATTTGTGGGTGAGTAGATGATGACAGAATTTTCATTTTTTTGGGTGAACTGTCCCTTTAAATTATGTTAATGCCATCAAATATGGTACATGTTATTTGACAAGTTCCTATCTTTTGGAAAAACAACCCACCCATGTCCAGCTGTCAAGTGACATTAAAGAAGACTCAAAATGACACCAACCTCTCCGTTTCTCAGTTTCTTCCTCTTTCTCTCCACATGTTTCTGCAGCACTCTCCTCTTTAACAAACTCCATCTTCACAGCAGTCTATCTATCTCGACTGTTAAACCTGGAGTTTCTCCTGCTTGTTTGGAAACCAGACTTTATCACGCTTATTATTTATGAATACATGGCTGATACACATTCTCATGTTTTCCTCATGTGTGGATTCGCTGCTTTACTCACAGAAAATAACATCAGTTTTGGCGCCATTTACGAGAAACCATTAGCGCTCGACACAAAGCTCCAAAATACTACATTCAGTAACCAACATTGCTGCCTCAGAACAATCTTTAACATCTTGTGCATCTTCAAAACACGTCAAAAGTTTCGTGCGGCGTTATAATCGACCAATGCAGAAGCGCTCCTTCAATACAAAACACTCCTCCTTCCGTAAACTGGCGCCCGAGCCGATGACGCAGCACGCACGGCGTCACAATAGCAAAATAAAAGTCCGCCCTGACTCAGAGGCTTCTATACTCTTTGTTTGACGTGAACGTTTTCATCGGAAATGTTTAATTTTGTAGTTTGCTCATCTGTAACACATAACTAAAACGTGTCTTGTCTTTTAAAAAGGATTTTAAAAATAAATAAATAAATACTCAAAATAAATAAATGTAGAAAATTGAAGTTATAGTTATCGATGTAGAATGCGCCATTGGCCACGATATATTTTTACGTATTTGATGTTGTTTATTTATTGTTTGTTTGTAGGGCTAAGCAAGGTATTTCTTCCAGCCCTAGCAATATTTCAGATTTGTAATAACAAATTAGTGCATCAAAGTCAATACATAGTTGTTAACATACATTTGAACCATATGATCAGATGCATTGAAGAATGTCAAATCTAAACAAAACATTTAAGACTCAAATCAGTGTGCATCTAGGCCCAATAAACACCAAAAATCAGAAAGTCCCCACATGAATCAATGATCCAACTACAAACCCAGGCTTGGTTTGCAACAGGATCAGGCTTACAGACACGTTTGGAATTCATATTCTTCATTTTAATAAAGTGACTGTTAGATATTTTAACACAGACAATTCAGAGCAAAGGCAGGCAGACAGCATTCAGAAACACAAGAAGCCAGGCAGGACAGGCAAATGAATGCAAAAGAGTAATTGAGTGCATGATTGGAACAGGCAGGATCCGGAAGACTCTGAATACGACACTAACACTGGCTCTGCGAACACATGACAAGACAAAAGATGTTTTTATATCCGAGTTTCTCCTTCAGTTTCAGGCTTGAAGCTCCATCTGGTGCAGCGAGGAGGAATTTAAAGGCACAGTTTGTAGTGTTGCTATAAACCAGGTTCAGCATACATAAACGACAACATACAATGTTTCCATCAGAGCAGGAATCAGCAGTGTTACAATAAAGCTGTAAGATACAATGTTACAAAAACGGTTAATTAGAAACAGATCAGCTCTTTGAGCTCACTGAAGAAGTCACTGCATGCTACTTTATGTTGCCGATGCGTTTATCAGTCCATTAAGCGATTTATTCACATGATTAATGTAACCTACTCAAGCATAAACTAGTACACATTCAAGCTTGATTGATTTATGCAATAAAAAGTATACTGTGAAATCATTGTCAGTACTGAAGAGCTATAGTTAACAAAATTACATTTTAAAGACATTAGAAAGGCAAATACACTGATGCTTGTATAGTTTGATAAATGCTACCACATGCAAAGAAATGTGAATACTGTAATGGTGCGTTCAAGTCATGTCGGATTGAGTGTATTTATGAGTTGAACGCCACCACAAAGTCGTTATTACGAGTGGGAACGTTTTGGGAATGACATCCGCATATTTATGCGGGATACACACATTTGAAAGAGCAATATGGATGGGACAAAAATATACGTGAAAATGTACGCGAGTTGTTGCTAGAGCACACTTTCTAAAGCATCCTCAGTATTTAATTCTGGAACCGGGGCTGGATAAAACTAGCTGTGTTTGAGCAGTTTTCACAGCAGCTCATATTAAGGCGAGCATACAGAGTTTTATGTGGCAGTCGGCTATGCTTGACTCTTGGTAATGTATTCCCCCCACAAACATATGATTCGACTATCAGTCGACTATCGGCAAGATTCGACAATTCTGATTCGACTATGAAAATACTTAGTTGGGGACACCCCTAATAGTTAAAAAAAATTATGTAGAAAAGTTAAATCGGCATCTTGTTCCGACCAAAGTGACTTGAACGCACCTGACGCGGTAATTACGACTTGTCAACTCATAAGTACGAACTTCCCAGGAGGACTTGAGCACAGTTGGCCGGTATTTCTAAACTAATACTTCGACCTCCCTTAAATATCCTAAACGTGACCCAGGACCACAAAACCAGTCATAAGGGTCAATTTTGTGAAATTGAGATTTATGCATCATCTGAAAGCTGATTAAATAGCTTTCCACTGATGTATGGTTTGTTAGGATAGGACAATATTTGGCTGAGATACAACTATTTGAAAATCTGGAATCTGAGGGTGCAAAAAAATCTAAATATTGAGAAAATCATCTTTAAAGTTGCTCAAATTAAGTTCTTAGCAATGCATATTACTAATCAAAAATTAAGTTTTGATATATTTACGGTAGGAAATTTACTAAATATCTTCATGGAACATGATCTTTACTTAATATCCTAATGATTTTTGGTATAAAAGAAAAATTTATAATTTTGACCCATACAATGTATTGTTGGCTATTGCTACAAATATACCCCAGCGACTTAAGACTGCTTTTGTGCTGCAGGGACACATATGGTCTTTTCTTGGGGTAAAAAATAAAAATCCAAAAGTGTTGAATCTTGCTCACTGTCTCAGCTTTGGACAAGCCTTTTTTAAATGCTTTCCTAAACTCCCGTATCGGCTGAAAGTCTTCCCGCAGGAGGGACAGAGGTATGGTTTCTCTCCGGTGTGAACTCTCTCATGCACTTTCAGTCCAGATGACTGAGTGAAGCTCTTCTCACAGTGTGAGCACTTGTAGGGGTTTTCTCCGGTGTGGATCCGTTCATGCACTTTCAGTTCGGCGGCTCTAGCGAAGGTTTTCCCACAGTCCAGACACACGAAGGGTTTCTCGCCGATATGAGTTTTCTGGTGGTCTTTAAAACCGTGCAGCCACAGAAAGCTCTTCCCGCAGAACGAACACACGTACCGCCGCTCGTCTTCGTGAATCCTCATGTGCGTCTTCAAGTGCACGGCCAGGAAAAACTTCTTATCGCAGCGCTGACAGTGAAAGGGTCTTTCTCCGGTGTGAGAGAGCAGGTGAGTTTTGAGATTGCAGGCCTCTGAAAACCTCCTGCCGCATTCAGGACACTGGTGTAACTTCTCTCCTGAGTGGACCTTCATGTGAACTTTGAGTGTGCTCTGTTGTGTGAAGCTCTTCCCGCACAGCATGCAGGTGAAAGGCTTCTCTCCGGAGTGGATTTTGGCGTGTTCCCTCAGAACCTCCTTCTGTTTGTAGCTCTTTCCGCACTGAGGGCAGGTGTAAGGTCTCTCTCGCGAGTGAATCCGTATGTGTCTCTTCAGCTCTCCTGAGCTCGGGAAGCTCTTTGCACATTGACGGCAGGTGAAAGGCCTCTCTCCGGTGTGAATCCGAACATGCCTCTTCAATCCTCCTGAGTTTGTGAAGCTCTTTTCGCACTGAGGACAGGTGAAAGGTCTCTCTCCGGTGTGGATCCTGAAGTGATCCTTAAGGCTTCCTTTGCAGGTGAAGCTCTTGGCGCACTGAGGACAGGTGTATGGTCTCTCACCTGTGTGGATCACCATGTGACCCTCCAGGTGTCCTTTACGAGTGAACCTCTTTCCGCACTGAGAGCAGGAGAACGAGCCTTTAGCGTCTGCTCTTTTTTGTGAAACAGTGTCTGAGGAGCTAGAAGACTTTCCCCCGCTTACTAAATCATGAGATTTCTGATTCTGTTGCTTCTCCTTCACCTCATTCTGTTCTTGACTTTCATCTTTCTCTTCTGTCAGGTCTAAAATGAACGGCAAAAACAACAAGTGCAACAAATCCGACAGAGGCAAAACATCCCAAATAGAGTGATATTTGATGCACTAAAAATGTCCATCAGATCAGATATATCTATAATAACTAGGGCTGTCAATTTAACATGTTAATTCGGTGCGATTAATCTTGGAGAAATTAATAATGCATTAAAATGATTAACACATTTAACGCACTACCCACCCAGACCTGGAGGTCATCTTTTGTTGATGCACTTGCTGATGAACACATTGTGTTAGCCTATATTTCAGACACAATATTGTCTTTTCAGCTCAAATGAAATTGTCACTGCAGAACTGCTGAGCAAGACACAGCGGCGTTTTGTTACTGAATCAATCCGTAGCTTCAAACGAATCAAGTGAGTCACTGATTCAGTGACTCATTCATAAAGACAGCTGCTGAATCAGCAAATGCACACTAATATACTACTATTACTAATTTTAGAATAGCGTTCTACGGCAAAAAGTAAGATAGTTCCAAACTGAGCAAGTCGCTTGCTTAGTTTCTGAATGAATCATCAATTGGAACAAATCGGTCGAGTGAATGACTCAGTGACTCGCGGATTAACACTGGCGGTTTTAGTTTCATATTTAGAGTATCATAAAAAATAAAAAAAATCATATTTCAATATTAAATAATAAACACCCATGTGTTATCCTTAGTTATGCAATGCTGAATTACAATATTTATTTCTAAAGCTACATTTTTGTATCGTATATTCAATGCTGTTCTCTCTGAACACAATAATGACTTTAAAATATCTTTTAAGGGGTAATTTCCTAGCCACAATTGATGTATGATTAATTAAATGGCACAATGTGTAATTAATTAGATTTGAATCGCTTGACAGCCCTAATTATAACTATAATTGAGATTTTTATAGCATTTTGGCTGTGCAAGCTTTGTTACTTTAATGCTCCTAATTTATTATTAATGAAGAACCATTAATCATCACCAACCTCTCCGTTCCTCAGTTTCTTCCTCTTTCTCTCCACATGTTTCTGCAGCACTCTCCTCTTTAACAAACTCCATCTCTACAGTAGTATGCAGATAACAGTAGGCTAGTAGAAGTAGATTTTCTGTCTCCGTCACGAAGAAAACAAAAGGCGAAATATATATTAATGGAGGCATCTCACCATAAGTTACAATATTTCCATAACAATATACTTCACAATAAAGCATTGCAATTTATACCCGACAGTAATCTATTAGATCTAATAATCGAGAATAACAATGTCGCTGGAATGCTTTGGTGAACACGAATCTGTCACGTGTAACACGTATGTTTCACGCACTTTACGCGCATATTATTCCCTTTAAACACAAACCTGTGCTCGATAGTGTCCTGCAGCCTGGCGCAACCCTGATGACGTCACCGGCCAGAAACAGACGCTCGAGCTCCTCTGTGTCCATTTGTGAAGTTTACAGAACGTTCTTAAAGCAGTATTAATATGTTCTCGGAACGTCTTGTATGCGCGCAGAACGTGTTCAGAGCTGTTCAACAACGCTTTTCACTAACAACAATAGAAGGTTCTCAGAACATTTTCAAAATGACAGAATGGAATGTTCTTATAACATTCAAATAAACAAGAAGAAAGTTAAAAACATTCAGTAATATTGTCTTCATAACTTACTAGGAATGTTTGCAAAACGTTCTTGGCACATATGTTTGTTAGCTGGGCTGATCTTCTGCATGGGACTGTTGCTGAATGATACCGCAGAGAAAGCACATCTCATTTACTTCTTTCAGGAAATAAAGAAACTTTACTTTCAAAAGTTGAAGTCTTTATTATGCATTTGTTTATGTACACATTAAGTGATAGTAGCACGTCAACTCTCTGACCAGCCTGTCAAATCTGCAGTCTTTTTAACTTCAAACTGTTGCATTCGGCTAAAACACCAGTCCATAATCCATAATAACGCTTCCTCCAGTGAACAAGTGCATCTGCTGTTGTCTCTCTCGTCAAAATCCAGCCACATATGTGTTTAGAGCTGTTTAAACAGTGCTTGATCTGTGCAGATTTCGTCTTAATGCTGGATTTGTTTCAGCTTTTGTCTTCTCCAGATGTTAACTGATGGACTGGAGTGCTGTGGATTACTTGTGGATTATTGTGATGTTTTTATCAGCTGTTTGGACTCTCATTCTGACGGCACCCATTCACTGCAGAGCATCCATTGCTGAGACTGATGCAATGCTACATTTCTCCAAATCTGATGAAGAAACAAACCCATCCTGATCTCTGATGGCCTGACTTATCAGACAAATTATTACATCATTATCCAAATACTGATACAACAATGTTATTTTATTAGTAACATTATTATTACCAATTATTGGCTTATGGACTGAAGGAGATATGTGGCCTCCCTCCATTCATACATCCAATGATATTTCTGTATGTATTAATAATTCAAATGATGTACATCAAAGTACATAACACCATCTCAGAGAATTTAACTGACTCTGTGTATGTGTTTATTTTCAGGGAATTGCACAAAAGCCTTAAACAACTGTCAAGAAACTAGAGAAAATGTCCTGTTGAAAAAGAAATAAATCACAATGCATGCAATGTGTTTGATTTTAATGCAGATCGGTAATGTGTGAGATGATGACGGGCTGGAGAATATTTCTGAGAGAAAGTAAAGATGGTTATATTCCTCGTTTGGATAAAAACGTCTGCTAAATAAATAACTGTAAAAACGGGAGAGTAAATTGCTGAATTATAAAAGTACTCTAGTAAAAGTAGTCGCAGTCCAAGCACACACACGCATCATTAAAGTGTTTTCTGATGGACAAACCTGTTAAAGCCACAAAAAACTCCCACAAAATAGAGGAAAGGATGCATTTGGCTGGATGTGAATCTTTCTTAAGGCGTCTGAAAGTACACTTTCACATGACGTTTTCACTCGTCAACTAACTATACTCTAAGCATTTGGAATCTTTTCATGATTTTTGCAAATAAAAACAAAGTAGGAATACAGAAATCACCTAATTTCCTCCACAAACACATAATAACAGCTGTGGACTGGTCTAGTGTTTTTTTTAAAGGATCTCACTGAAAGTCTTTTCAGTTCCCCATGGATCTGAAGAACTACGATGAACAAAATTACATTTTTAAGATCAAATAAATAAAGACACATATTGGCATTGTTTGACGAATGCTACCACGTGCAAAAAAAGGTAATTTTTTCTGAATATAATACAAGAGCATTCCTACAATTTTTGTAGCATTCACAGAATCCCACATACTTTGTCCTTCCTTAATATTCCTTTAAGTTTCCAAAAATGCTCTTTTGGAGGACACACTCTTCAAGGTGACTCTCCTCACCAGTGTTGGGGAAGTTACTTTCAAAAGTAATGCATTACAATATTGCGTTACTCCCTAAAAACTAATTACGTTAGTTACTTAGTAATGTGTTATGTTACTTTTGCGTTACTCTTCAAATCCGGGCAGGGCTTGCTTGCTTGTATTTAATATAAAAAGTTCTATTTTTGGTAAATGTAAAAGCTCTTTCACACCAAAAAGTGAAATGAATAAGCCTCAGGCTGAAGGAAAAGTAAATTCACATCTGTACAGCAGAACGCAGGAGAAGAAAGTTCAACACTCTTCAGCAATAATACATAAAGGATATTGTGTTATTTACCACTTAATTATTGAAGATTTGTGTCACATTCTGAGCTTGCATTTCACTGTTCTTTATTCATCTGGAGGAACACTGAATCTGTTTTTTGTGCAAGTGCACAAAAGCATGCTCACATTTAGTCTAGAACTAACCATTTAGTTTTGCACTTACTCCCACTTTTTCTCAACATGAGGACAGGAGAGTTGTCAGTGAATAAATGGGAAAACAAAGTAACTGGTTTACTTTTTTGAAAAAGTAACCCAGATATTTTCTTGTAAATTAAAAAGTAATGCATTACTTTACTAGTTACTTGAAAAAAGTAATCTTGTAATGCGTTACCCCCAACACTGCTCCTCACTGTCTCAGCTTTGGACAAGCCTTTTTCAAATGCTTCCCGAGATTTCCGTATCGGCTGAAAGTCTTCCCGCAGGAGGGACAGAGATATGGTTTCTCTCCGGTGTGAACTCTCTCGTGCACTTTAAGGGCTCCTGAAACTGTGAAGCTCTTCTCACAGTGTGAGCACTTGTAGGGTTTTTCTCCGGTGTGGATCCGTTCATGCACTTTCAGTTCACCGGCTCTAGTGAAAGTGCTTCCACAGTCCAAACACACGAAGGGTTTCTCGCCGATATGAGTTTTCTGATGGTCTTTAAACCCATTAAGCCACAGAAAGCTCTTCCCGCAGAAAGAGCACACGTACCGCCGCTCGTCTTCGTGAATCCTCATGTGCGTCTTCAAGTGCACGGCCAGGAAAAACTTCTTATCGCAGCGCTGACAGTGAAAGGGTCTTTCTCCGGTGTGAGAGAGCAGGTGAGTTTTGAGATTGCAGGCCTCTGAGAACCTCCTGCCGCATTCAGGACACTGGTGTAACTTCTCTCCTGAGTGGACCTTCATGTGTCTTTTCAAGCTCCGCTGATGTGTGAAGCTCTTCCCGCACAGCATGCACGTGAAAAGCTTCTCTCCGGTGTGGATTTTCATGTGTTCCTTCAGACCTTCCTTCTGCGTGAAGCTCTTTCCGCACTGAGAGCAGGTGAAAGGCTTCTCTCCGGAGTGAATTCTTACGTGTCTCTTCAGATCTCCAGAACTGGTGAAGCTCTTTCCGCACTGAGAGCACGGAAACGGTTTCTCTCCGGTGTGAATCCTTATGTGCCTCTTAAGGTCTTCTTGTCGTGCAAAACTACATCCGCACTGAGGACAGGTGAAAGGCTTTTCTCCGGAGTGGATCTTGAAGTGATCCTTAAGGCTTCCTTTGCAGGTGAAGCTCTTGGCGCACTGAGGACAGGTGTATGGTCTCTCACCTGTGTGGATGATCGTGTGGATCTTCAGGTGTCCTTTACGAGTGAAGCTCTTTCCGCACTGAGAGCAGGAGAACAGGTTTTTGGCTGATGTTTCTTGCGATTGATTATTATCGTTCTGTGAACGACTACAAGACTGTTTTGCATTTATGAACTGATGAGGTTCCTCATGCTGATCTTTCTGCTCCACTTCATTCAGCTCTTGACGTTCCTCTTTCACTTCTATCAGGCCTAAAACATGTTAAATTGTCCAGATCAATTCAAGAATGACCAAGTGAAATGTAAACTAAAAATGCCATCTGATCTGGTGTATATATAGCTGCTATAGTTGGTTATTATCATTTAGATGCATCCCAGCTAACAACAATTATGTTCTAAGAATGTTCCCACTGAGTTATGAAAACGTTATCCATGAATGTTTTCTGAATGTTCAAAACATCTAGTTCTAAAAGTAAAAAAAAAAAAACATTTAAGGGATAATTCCCCCAAAAATGAAAAGACTGTCATCATTTACTCACCGTCCACTTGTTCAAAACTTGTATGAGTTTCTTTCCTCTGCTGAACACAGAAGAAGATATTTTGAAGAATGTTGATAACCAAACAGTTGACGGTGGTCATTGATTGCCATGGTATGGAAAAAACTACTATGTAACTCAGTGACTACCATCAACTGCCAAGTTAGCAACGTTCTTCAAAATTTCTTCGTTTTCAACAGCTGAAGGAAAGTTTGGAACGACGTGTGGGAGTATAAATGATGACAGAATTTAAATTTTTGGAAGAACTGTCGCTTTATGGGAATGTTACATTTGAACATTCTCTTGATGTTCTGAAACAAGTAGTAACATTTAAAAAACATCAGACGAACATCCGACTTAAACGTTTCAGAAAAAGTGCTGTTTTGATGTGTGAAGCTCTTCCCGCACAGCATGCACGCAAAAGGCTTCTCTCCGGAGTGGATTTTCATGTGTTCCTTCAGACCTTCCTTCTGCGTGAAGCTCTTTCCGCACTGAGAGCAGGTGAAAGGCTTCTCTCCGGAGTGAATTCTTACGTGTCTCTTCAGATCTCCAGAACTGGTGAAGCTCTTTCCGCACTGAGAGCAGGCTTCTCGCTTCTCTCCGGAGTGAATTCTTACGTGTCTCTTCAGATCTCCAGAACTGGTGAAGCTCTCTGAGAGCAGGTGAAAGGCTTCTCTCCGGAGTGAATTCTTACGTGTCTCTTCAGATCTCCAGAACTGGTGAAGCTCTTTCCGCACTGAGAGCACGGAAACGGTTTCTCTCCGGTGTGAATCCTTATGTGCCTCTTAAGGTCTTCTTGTCGTGCAAAACTACATCCGCACTGAGGACAGGTGAAAGGCTTTTCTCCGGAGTGGATCTTGAAGTGATCCTTAAGGCTTCCTTTGCAGGTGAAGCTCTTGGCGCACTGAGGACAGGTGTATGGTCTCTCACCTGTGTGGATGATCGTGTGGATCTTCAGGTGTCCTTTACGAGTGAAGCTCTTTCCGCACTGAGAGCAGGAGAACAGGTTTTTGGCTGATGTTTCTTGCGATTGATTATTATCGTTCTGTGAACGACTACAAGACTGTTTTGCATTTATGAACTGATGAGGTTCCTCATGCTGATCTTTCTGCTCCACTTCATTCAGCTCTTGACGTTCCTCTTTCACTTCTATCAGGCCTAAAACATGTTAAATTGTCCAGATCAATTCAAGAATGACCAAGTGAAATGTAAACTAAAAATGCCATCTGATCTGGTGTATATATAGCTGCTATAGTTGGTTATTATCATTTAGATGCATCCCAGCTAACAACAATTATGTTCTAAGAATGTTCCCACTGAGTTATGAAAACGTTATCCATGAATGTTTTCTGAATGTTCAAAACATCTAGTTCTAAAAGTAAAAAAAAAAAAACATTTAAGGGATAATTCCCCCAAAAATGAAAAGACTGTCATCATTTACTCACCGTCCACTTGTTCAAAACTTGTATGAGTTTCTTTCCTCTGCTGAACACAGAAGAAGATATTTTGAAGAATGTTGATAACCAAACAGTTGACGGTGGTCATTGATTGCCATGGTATGGAAAAAACTACTATGTAACTCAGTGACTACCATCAACTGCCAAGTTAGCAACGTTCTTCAAAATTTCTTCGTTTTCAACAGCTGAAGGAAAGTTTGGAACGACGTGTGGGAGTATAAATGATGACAGAATTTAAATTTTTGGAAGAACTGTCGCTTTATGGGAATGTTACATTTGAACATTCTCTTGATGTTCTGAAACAAGTAGTAACATTTAAAAAACATCAGACGAACATCCGACTTAAACGTTTCAGAAAAAGTTCCACAAACAGTGTATAAAAACGCTTTTAAACATTATTAAAAACCAGGTAACAATGTTCGTAACCCCAGTTCTCTGAAACATCGAGTGGAGAGGTCCACCAATGGGAAGGGCATCCGTGGCCTGACTTCTGCAGAAGCATCCAACTGCACTAAGTCTGGCTTGACAGACAGGAGCGCGTGCCCAATGTCAGGTAAGGGACCGCACCTTAACCGAGCGCATATATCCCCTGCACGCGCTACCTTTCCTCAGTGAGCATATTCACTTCTCGTGCAGCAAGCGGGGCAAACTTCGAGGATCTCTCCACTCGATGATTCAGAGAACCGGGGTTACGAACAGTAACCTATTGTTCTCTTTCATCATCTCGTGTTCGAGATCCACCTATGGGAGAGATGGTTGCACAATACACTCACAGCGAGGCCCTGTAAGCCCGAGGACGTCACCTGGAAGGCGGTGCTTGATACGTCACAAAGTAACAGACCTCTCACAAAGTGAGCATGCAATACTAGACATAAAAGCATGACATGTGGTAACATGCATACAAAACCTGACAACACGCATGTGCTGTAAGCATATATAACTAACAAACCATACATCAATGGAAAGCTATTTATTCAGCTTTCGGATGCTGTATAAATCTCAATAAAAAAAAAAAAAAATTGACCCTTATGACTGGTTTTGTGGTGCAGGGTCACATATATATACAATGACATATACATACATACATATATATGAATGTATAATATGGTGTCAGGGGAGGGTACAAATGACCTGCTTAATGACATGAATAAGCCAGGCTGGCCAACCCAAGCTTAAAAGGTGTAGCAGGCCTAAAGGCACAAGGCTACGATAAGCCCACGCCTAAGACAAAGTGAGCTACCGGGCTGTGGGTAACATCAAGCCGATAGTATCTGACAAATGTATGTGGAGAGTCCCAGCTTGCAGCGGCACAAATGTCCTGCAAGGATACCCCTTTAAACAGAGCCCAGGAGGCCGCCATGCCTCTAGTGGAATGCGCTTTTAGGCCCTCTGCAGGCTGCACTCCCTTAGATTCATATGTCTGAGAGATGGCGGCCACCTTAAGCCTCCGACGCAGGAGCTTCTTCGGGAGCGCCAAGCAACGGCTACAGTTCTCCGGGAAATCAGTGGCTTCTTGAGCGTGTTTAAGACGCATGCAAACCATGCAAAAGAGATGGGGAATAGTGAAAGTCAACCAACGAGCTGCGAGTAATTTTCCAGAGGTTGCGAGACGTCAAATGAGGAAAGGTAGCGCTCAGGTAGCGCCAGACTTGGTGCAATAGGATGCTTCTTCAGAGGTCAGGTGCAGAAGCCCTTGACATTGGTGTATCTCGAACACGAGGAGATGAAAGAGAACTTTGAACGAACATTCTATTAGGGTTACTGGAAGAATGTTTGCTCGTAACATTTAGAGAACCTTGCCAGAACACTTTGAAAATGTTCTGTTAGTTGAGATTCTGTATATCATTTTTTACTAAAACGTACTGTTTAATTTCACAGCGCCGGTGGTTTCTAAGGTCTAAGTGTGTGAGAATGTGTTCACTGTCAGCAGTCATTATTGTAGAATAAAAGATGATCACAGACCTCTCTGCTTATATTCTTCCTCTTCCTCTCCGCATGTTTCTTCATCACTCATGTCTTCACTCTCCTCTTTAACAAACTCCATTTTCACAATAATGTCATGCAGATCTCAGCTGCTAAACCTGCCTGTTTTCCTGCCTGTTTGGACGCCAGACTGTGTCAGGTCTGAGATTATGATAATATTTGAACGTTATTAAGAAGCAGCGATGCTAAATAAACCCGTTCCTGAAGCCTGGATGCGCTTTAGTGTCAGAAACGATGCGCTCATTCCGAGACTAACAGCATTTTACAAACAGCATTACTATGGCGATGATGATTATATATATACATTAAGATAATATATACATATACGTTACGCTGAATGCTTTCAGTAATATTGCAATGCATTTGAAGCACATTTGTGAATTACAGGAAGCTACTTTAGAATGTTTTGTAACTATTCATACACCACAAACCTCCCTTCAGCTGCAGTCTGAGCGCATGACGTCACACGCCGCGCCCAGAAGCAAAATAAAAGTCTTCATCAAATAATAATTAAACAAATGTGTTTGCTGGCATATATTTAAACTTTTAAATGCTTCCAATAATATGTTGATCTACCAGCGTCATAAGAGCAGGGGCTACTACGTCAATATACTGTTTTTCTTTCTTCTCACTCCATCCAGTAGGTGGCGGAAATGCACCGGTGTTGGTTTGCAAACTGCTGTAAATGATAAAGAAGAAGAGTGGCAACGCAACGTGTGTTTCCCAAACAAGCAGGAGACCCTGCAGATTAAACATCTGAGAGCTATTACTGTAGAGATGGAGTTTGTTAAAGAGGAGAGTGCTGCAGAGACATGCGGAGAGAAAGAGGAAGAAACTGAGGAACGGAGAGGTGGTGATGATTAATGGTTCTTCATTAACGAGTATGTCAAGTTCATTCAGAGTTTGTTTAGAAAGCCATGCTAACAGGAGACTGGAGAGGGATGCTTCACTGCCTCCAGCTCATCTCTGCGTCTCAAACGTTCATCTAATATTCCCTGCCTTTGTCTAATCCGAGATGAAGTCGTGTTAACACTTTTAGAAAGCATGGACATCAGTCTACATTTGTGTGCAGGAGTTTGTGAAGTGTACTTGTTTTTGACACCCCCATTTCTTTAAGTACTCTAACTGAAAACAGTAATCCAATTGGAAGAATTCAATTTTAACTACAAGTTGCAAAATACTGAACTAAAACATTATATGTGACCCTGGAGCACAAAACCAGTCACAAGGGTCAATTTTTCGAAATTGAGATTTATGCATCACCTGAAAGCTGAATAAATAATCTTTCCATTGATGTATGGTTTGTTAGGACAGGACAATATTTGGCTGAGATACAACTATTAGAAAATCTGGAATCTGAGGGTGCAAAAAAATCTAAATATTGAGAAAATCATCTTTAAAGTTGTTCAAATGAAGTTCTTAGCAATGCATATTACTAATCAAAAATTAAGTTTAGATATATTTACGGTAGGGAATTTACAAAATATCTTCATGGAACATGATCTTTACTTATTATCCTAATGATTTTTGGCATAAAAGAAAAATGTATAATTTTGACCCATACAATGTATTGTTGGCTATTGCTACAAATATCCCCCAGCGACTTAAAACTGCTTTTGTGCTGCAGGGACACGGATGTCATTTATCATCTCTTCAAAATATAACACAGAAGTGAATTTTTTTTATTTATTTTTTTCTCAAAACGAGTTTTTGTTTTGTATGTTCTGTATATTTGTACACAGATACTTGCTTCTACTAGTTGTCATGTATGATAGTGGTTTAACTTTCACCTTAGCCTTTGGCACAGTCCTAAAATAACATTGTTAAATAATATGAAGAAAGACAGCATTTTGTAGAGCATTTGTATAACAGCTGTTTGGCTTCACTGTGTGAACTGATTTTTGACCGTCTGCTGTGTTTGTTTTAGAGCTGATGCACGCGAAAAAAGAAAGAAGCAAGCCGAGTGAGCGACCTGGAGAAGAAACATCGGGACTTGTTCATAAGTGCGGAAAGCTGCTCAGAAACGAAAAAGAAACCCTCGCAAGAAGCCAGTAATGCGTTCGTCTGCCCCGAGTGCGGCAAGAGTTTCACACATAGAGGACACTTCAACGAACACGTGAAGATCCACTCCGGAGTCAAGCCCTTCAGCTGCCCTCACTGTCAGAAGAGCTTCACCTGTAGAGGACACCTGAAACGCCACATTCGCATCCACACCGGCGAGCGTCCGTACGCTTGCGATCAGTGCGGGAAGAGCTTCAAGTGCGCCACCAACCTCAAAGACCACCAGCGCTCGCACTCGGGAGAACGAGCCTTCAGATGCCAGCAGTGCGGGAAGAGCTTCATTCTGGCGTCCAACCTGAAGACGCACCTGAAGATCCACACTGACGAGAAGCCGTACGTGTGCAGCGTCTGCGGGAAGGGCTTTCTGCGGCTGGGCTGCTTCAGCGATCACCAGAAGATCCACTCGGGCGGGCGAGCGAGCGCACATGTGCTTCGAGTGCGGAGACACCTTCACCAGATCCAGCGCTCTGAAGCAGCAGATCCACAGCGGAGAGAGACCCTATAGCTGCTCGCACTGCGAGAAGGGCTTCACTCACTCGGGAGCACACACCGGAGAGAGACCCTACCACTGCACCGCCTGCGGGAGGAGATTCACTCAGTCTAGTGATCTGCTGACCCACAGAAAGAAGCCCTGTCCCATGCTGCCTCGCTCCAGTGCAAACACTAGATGCAATCTGATAGGGATGTAACTAGGCCTGGGTGATAAAACGGTATCGATATTTATCGATGGTACTCTATCGATAACGATAGAAAAAATGTCAGATGTAGCGCACGATATAGGCACGTGCTATGAGTGATGCAGACAGCTCACACAAACACGAACATGAGTGCTGTGCCTGCCTGTGATGAGGAGATTGTGAATAACAAAAATGAATATTAGTTGATTTAAAATAAAAAAAAATTGCATTTGAATTTAAAAATGGTAGAGTCAAATGTTAGGTGAGCGTCATCAGTGGCGCGCGAGATGCGGTGATGATGATGTAAGTGATGTTGTTGCATTTTAATGTTTTGTTAGTTTAGCCCACGAGACGCTGCTGCGTTATTCATTCAAAATATTAGAGAAATATAGAAGCTCAATGCGGAGAAGATCTTGATTAGGTTCAAACCGAAACCAAGCCATTCACACAGAATGCATATTCAGCACATTTTTTTAGACGGACAAATATGACTGCTGCACTCGCGTCACACAAGAGATGTATAGAAAGCCATGCAAAGTTAAAATAGTTTAAACGTTAAGAAAACACGTGAATTTGTGGAGGTTTATGCCTTTTCACTGTGTCTCATATGTTTTTAAATGCAATCTGTTTGATTGGCGATTCTGCTTTTTTTTATTTTTATGCAATGCATAAATACATGATGCTGTTTTGTTCATAATTTATGAAATTATATTTGATATATATATATATATATATATATATATATAAATGTAGACGTTATGCACGTTTTTTATGGACAGTAATTTCATTGCATTGACAATTTAATACATTTGTGTTTGACTGTTAAAACAAAACAAAAAAAGTGTTGTTTATCTCAATAAATTGGGTAAATTAAAAACACAGTGGTTAAATGTAAACATTTTTTTCTGTTTTTCTTTTTTGTTTTAAAAAAGGTTATAAAAAATGGCAATAATTATTGATGTTGAACGATATGAAACATTATATCGTTGATACATTTTTTAGCTATATCGCCCAGCCCTAGATGTAAAGATATCAAAA